ATTATCAAGTTTTCTGGGAGAAATAAAATAAAAGTTATGATTAGATTTTTTGTAGGTTTAAAAGTGCTTTTTAGATATTTATAAGAATAAAAATTTTAAATTTTTTTATCTTGCTGATATGATTTTAAAATGGTCTGTGTACCCCTAAAAGTTCATGTGTAGAGCACTTAGTTTCTAGTGTGGCAGTATTGAGAGGTGGTATGGACTTTTAAGAGGTAGAGCCTAGTAGGAAGTCCTTAGGTCTTTGGGAGTGTGAGGTAAGTCCTCTTGTGCCCATTGGTAGTTTTCACTAGAAGGGTGTTTATCCTAAGCATAATTACGTTTCTACGAAAAATAACTTAACATTATCTAAGACTTTAGCAGAAAAGTAGAATCAGACAGAAAAACAACATTTTTTTTTCTTGGACAGGATACCAGTCATTTTAATTATGTTACATGTCAACTTCTCACAAAAACCACCCAATGACCTGTTTTTCAAATGATGCTCATTAAACCTGATATAAGAAAGAACCCATCTGGACAGTCTAAGCAGCATCTCAGAAGAAAGAGATAAGAGGATGTTTATAGGGTTGTAAAGGTATGAATACAGTGGTTTGAAGTATTTTTTATCAGTCAGGAAACTTAAAATGGGCAAAGTTCTTGACAATGATTTAAAATTTGTGAGGTTTTTAAAAACAATTTTGATTAATAAATTATTTTGTTTTTGTAAGCAATCTAGGAGGTCTTGGCCAACAGGGTGCCCTGGGATCTATTCTCAAAAAGACTCTACCTTGAAAAATCTTTGAAACAAATTTGTATCTCTGCATCTCTGAGCCTCATAGTCTTGATGATTACTGAGATGCCTTCAAGTTATCTTTCCAATTGTCCCAATTGGAAACTTGGTTTATTATCTGCACTATTCTTCTCCAAAACTTTATGCAAAAGCCTTTTATGGCCAAGGTGTTAATTTTCTAAAATATTTTTGTTCTGCTATTTTTTCTCCTGATTCTAAGTTTCATTAAATTGCTTGGTTATGCCATGTCACCTCCTGAATTACTTGTTGCCTTGAAATTTCCTCCCGAGATAAACAAAACTATTACCTTTAAATTAATCCTCCCTTGAAGCCTCAAGGCATGGACAAAATGTATCCTAATTCTTGCCACAATATGATATGCATACTCCTCAATCCATTTCCAATGTGATCATCATTTCCATCTGAAATCTCATAGGCATAGTTTTTACTGTCTGCATTCCTTTTAGCATTCTGCTTAATAGCAGTCCTTGATTTTTCTAGTTTGCTTATCTAAGCTTTTCCAGATTCCTTCCACTGTCCCATTCCAAAGTCTCTTCCACATCATCAGGTCTATAGCAATGGCAATGACTCCATTTCTTGGTACCAAATTACTATTAGTCAGGTTTCCATTACTGTTAAAAATATTTGAATAAATCAACTTATAAAGAGAAACAGTTCATTTTGGTTTGCAGTTTGGGAGGTTTTACTCCCTGATTGGGTAGGTGCATTGTTCTTAAGTGTCTTAGGGAAGGTAGCACATTATGATATCAGTGAGCAAAACTGCTCATCTTATGGGCAGAAAGGAAAATAGAGAAAGAAGGGGCTGGTGTCCCTTGAATACACAATGACCCCAAGACCTCCCACTAGGCTCCATCTTATAAAGGTTCCACCATCTCCCAATAGCACCAGGCTTTACCACAAGAAGAATTTTTAGGGGGAACTTAAGACCTGAACTATAGCATTCATTGGTTTTTCCATCTCCCTTTAACTATTAGCTTTTCTTCATGTTCCATTTCATTATCTTTTTCATTTTTCTGCATAAGATTTATTGAAGAATTCAAGGCATTTGCTGGGTTATTTTCTATGTATCTGTGTTGTTTATGCTTCTCTGTCATAATTCATGGGGTGTCCTATAAATTAGAATTTTCAATAGAGGTTTAATCACATTTGGGTTTTCTTTTTTAAAAATTATTTTTATTTTATTTTATTTTTTAACAAGAATGCCTAACAGTTTTTCTTACATATATGAAACAATAATCTCTGGGTATCTCTCATTGTGTGATATTAACAGCCAGCAATACTAAATGATGAGGTTATGACTATACAGTGATCCCTTGGTATACATGATTAGGTGGTTCCGTATTCTAACCTGCTCCAGGAATGCCAAAATCTGCTGAAACTCAAGTTATTTATTTAAAATCATATAGCATTTGCATATAATTTACCAAGATTCTCCACATTCTTTAAAAAATCTCCAGATCATTTCTAATACATAATACAATAAAAATCTAAGTAAATAGTTTTAAAATTTTTTTAAATTCGTTTTAATTAGTTATACATGACAGTAGAATGCATTTATGCACTTTGATATATCATACATAGGTGGGATATAATTTCTCATTTTTCTGAGTGTACATGTTGCAGAATCATATTCATCATGTAGTCACATATATACATACAGTAATAATGTCTGTTTCATTCTACTATCTTTCCTATCCCTACATCCCCTCCCCTCCCCTACCATCACTTCCCTCTACCTAATGTAAGGTAATGATATTCTCCCCTAGTGCCATCCTGCCTTATTGTGAATTACCATCCACGTTTTAGGGAAAACATTTGGCCTTTGGTTTTGTGGTATTGCCTTATTTCACTTTGCATGATATTATCCAACCCCAACCATATACTGGCAAATGCCATAATTTTACTCTTTTTTAAAGCTGAGTAATATTCCATTAGGTATATATACCATATTTTCTTTATCCATTAATCCATTGAGGGACACCTAGGTTGATTCCATAGTCTAGCTATTGTGAATTGATCTGCTATAAATATTGATGTGGTTGTGTCACTATAGTGTGCTGATTTTAAGTCTTTTGGATATAAACCAGAGTGGAATAGCTGGGTCAAATGGTGGTTCCATTTCCAGTTTTCTGAGGAATCTCCATACTGCTTTCTGTAATGGTTGCACCAATTTGCAGTCCCACCAGGAATGCATGAGTGTGCCTTTTTCACCACATCTTCACCAATGCTTATTGTTGTTTGTATTCTTAATGACTGCCATTCTGACAGGAGTGAGATGAAATCTTAAAAGTAGTTTTGATTTGCATTTCTCTAAATGCTAGAGATGTTGAACACTTTTTCATACATTTGTTGATCAATTGTATTTATTCTTCTGTAAAGTGTCTGTTCACTTCCTTAGCCCATTTATAGATTGGATCATTTGCTTTTTTTTTTTTGAGTTCTTTATATATCCTAGAGATTAATTCTTTATCAGAGGTGCATGTGATAAAAATTTTCTCCAAATCTGTAGGTTCTCTCCTCACATCATTAATTGAGAAGAAGCTTTTTAATTTGAATCCACCCCATTTATTGATTCTTGATTTTACTTCTTGTGCTTTAGGAGTCTTGTTAAGGAAGTCAGATCCTAGGCCGACATGTGAAGATTTAGGCCTATTTTTTCTTCTATTAGGCGCAGGGTCTCTGTTGTAGTACCTAAGTCTTTGATCTACTTTGAATGATTTTTGTGCAGGGTGAGAGACAGAGGTTTAATTTCATTTTGCAACATATGGATTTCCAGTTTTTCCAGCACCATTTGTTGAATAAGCTATCTTTTTTCCAGTGAATGTTTTTGGTATCTCATGTCTAGTATGAGATAACCATATTTATGTGGGTTTGTCTCTGTGTCCTCTATTCTGTATCATTGGTCTTCAAGTCTATTTTAGTGCCAATACCATGCCATTTTTGTTACTATAGCTATGTAGTATAGTATAAATTCTGGTATTGTGATGCCTCCTGCTTCACTTTTCTTGCTCAGGAATTCTTTAGCTATTCTCTGTCTTTTATTTTTCCAATAAATTTCATGATTGCTTTTTCTATTTCTATGGAGAATGTCAATGGGATTTTAAAAGGAATTGCACTAAATCTGTTATAATGCTTTTGGTAGTATGGCCATTTTTACAATATTAATTCTGCCTATCCAGGAGCATTGGAAGTCTTTTCATCTTCTGAGGATTTCTTCAGTTTTCTTTAGTGTTCTGTAGCTTGCATTGTAGAGGTCTTTCACATTTTTTGTTAGATTGATTCCCAGGTAATTTTTTTGAGGCTATTGTGAATGGAATAGTGTTCCTAATTTCTCTTTCAGTGGATTCATTGCTGATGTATAGAAATGCGTTTGATTTATGGGTGTTGATTTTTATATCTTGCTGCTTTGCTGAATTCATTTATTAGTTCTAGAAGTTTTCTGGTGGAATTTTTTAGATCTTCTAGATACAGCATCATTTCATTAGCAAACAGTGATAGTTTGAGTTCTTCTTTACTTATTTGTATCCCTTTGGTTTATTTCTTTTGTCTAATTGCTCTGGCTAGGGTTTCAAGGATAATGTTGAATAGAAGTGGTGAAAGAGGACATCCTTTTCTTGTTCCAGTTTTTAGAGGAAATGTTTTCAATTTTTCTCCATTTAGAATGATGCTGGCCTTGGGTTTAGCATATATAGATTTTACAATGTTGAAGTATGTTCCTACAATTCCTAGCTGTTCTAGTGTTTTGTACATGATGGTGTGCTGTATTTTGTCAAATGATTTTTCTGCGTCTATTGAGAGGATCATATGATTCTTGTTTTAATATGATGAGTTATGTTTATTGATTTCCATATGTTGAACCAACCCTGCATCCCTGGAATGAATCCCACTTGATTATAGTTCAGTATCTTTTTACTATGTTTTTGTATGCAATTTGCCAGAATTTTATTGATAATTTTTGCATCTATGTTCATCAGGGATAGTGGTGGCTGCAAAGGCAGCTGCAACTGCAGCTGTGGGGTGTATGTGGGGGGGGGGGGGGGGGCGCAGTGTCACGGGTGATCTCCAGAGGAAGTCAGCAGCAATGTCAGCTTCAGTTGCATCCTAGGCAGCAGTTTCTTCTGTGGCAGCAGCATCCAGAAAGAAGACCTCCAGGCAATCTCAAGCTGGCAGCAGTGGAATCAGAGGCAGCAGCAATGGCGGTAGCAGTTCAGGCTGTGGTAGATTGACATGAGACTTCCAGTTCAGGGGCAGCAACCACAGCGGTTGTGTTGGAATTCGCATCAGAGGTAAAGGAAGCGGTGCTCAGAGAAGAGATCTCGGGGGACCCTGTGGCAGTGTCCTCTGTGGCAGCATCTTCTGCAGCAGCGTCTTCTGCGGCAGGGGCTTCTGCAGCAACAGAGTCTAGGGCAGTGGCAGCTGTGGCAGCAGCTTCTGCCACAGAGGCTTCTGCTGCAATGGAGTCTGCAGCAGCGGCATCTTCCTCAGCGGCAGCAGCAGCAGCATTGGCAGCAGCTGTAAATTGTTGTTATAGGACATTATTTAGGGGCAAATAACAAGAAAAAATGTCTATATATATCCAATACAGGCACAATTTAAAAAATATGTTTTGGTCTGCAGTTGGTTGAATCTGTAGATATGAAATTTGCAGATACAGAAGGATAACTGTATTTTCAAACTATTTTCTTTAAGTAGCGTTGACTTGAAACTATACTATAACCTTTATTTAAAATTAATGATTGAGTTCTAATTGAATTATTTATTTCTTGTATATTATTAACATTTTTAATACTCTTATTTCCACTTGGGAAAATTTTTTCTTGGTTTCAGAGACACAAGAGTCACTTCATTTTTTTTCATTACTTGATTATTTTTTGCTTTTACTTATGAGATATTATTTGTAATGGGTAAAACTATGAACTCAAAACACTTTTACTTTTATACTTCAATGCACTTTTTTCCTTCTAACAGTAATACACATAATATTGTCAATTTTGATTTAATACTATGGCATTAAGGAAAATTTATCAGAAAAACAATGGAAACTATTCATGATATTATGAACTGCAGTTTTATTACAAGAAGTGTTGGGGCAATCTTATATTTGATGACATGTTAGATCTCATTCATATCAGAAACAATATTTGGGGGATAAAATGGGAATTATCTCCAAATTGATACCAATCACCTATGACTCTATGGCTGAACAAAATTGTAAAATGATTAACTTCTTTCAAGAAGGCAGAGTAAAGGAGTCAAAAAATTTTCAAGTAGATTTAAATCTTAAAAATTTTCAGTGAATGAAATAATTTAAAAGCAAGATAAATTGATCTATCTAGGAAACAGTGTAACAAAATGTGCTTGCAGAGAACTAAATTGCATTCTTTTGGGGAGGGTGCCAGAGAGACAGAGGCATCAATAGAAACACTGACCCATATTGCAGGAAGAGAATAAAAAGCCTGAAGAGCACAATTGTGGCTCTGTATATTGTTAACTGAAGGACAGGGCAGAAGCAGCCAGAGTCACTCTTATTACACACTTGAAATAGAAATAAGCTAACTCAGAGAGGGGCAGACTACAGCTTATCCATAGAATACTAATACATAACTTAAACACAATTGAGGATTTAACCTTTTTTTCTCTTGGGAAGCAGGGTGAAGTTTGGCACCACAAGTCATAAAGTAGAACCTTATAAGGGAATGTAAAACAAATCTGTACAAGAAGAAAGTTTCAGAGTCATGATTCTTTATGTTCACTTACCTTCTAGGTACTTTATTACACCAGTGATTAATAAAGTGGAATATAACATCACAACACATATCATAATTGATATAGTTTTTATCTGGCTATTGTACAAGGAAAATAAAGGATCTGAAATAGAGACTGAGGAAAATAAAAAAAAAATTAGGAAATTTGTGAGACAACATACTACAAGAACAATAAAGAAAATAATAAATGAAATACTTAAATGATAGGTAAAAACTCCCCAGATCTATGGAAATATATGAACATCCAGGTACATGAAGCACAAATATTTCTAATTAGGTTCAACATAAAGACTTCACAAAGAAATAAAAACAAACTTTCAAAAATAAAAGTCAGAGGACACATATTACACATTAAGCATAAGCAAACTACAGCATGTACTATCACACTTTTTTGCCAATTATTTCTGTGCAAGATATAGAGATGTAGATAATATTATATGAGGAAGAAGCGTGCTGAGTCATCTCTGAAACCTTAGCATTGAAAGCAACATTTGGCATTCAAATGCTAAAAAAAAAAAAAAATAAGTATAAATGAAAGAAAATTCTGGAGCCTCAAACACAAAAACTGAATGTACATATAATTAATGGAGTTCAGAAGCCAACTTGTGGCCACAAGATAACCAGCATTTTAAAAAATTAATATTAAGAGAGATTACAATATGACCAAATACAGAAGACCAGCGCTGACTCCTTTACAGAGAAGAACATAATTAATACTTGCTTTATCAGATGGGTGACTGAGAGAGAGTATTGAAACTCAGCAAGAGAAGGACAGTATTCCTTTAAGACATGGAGACATGGGATGGTAGCATAGAGGGTGGAGCAGAACATTGTGGACACTGCTAACCTGGTTCCCTCATAAAGGGGACTCCTTGCTGTGAGGGATATAGATGAGAAGGTGTCACTGGACCCTGTCATGGACACTGATAATCCTTGTAACAAAGGAGCTTTCTAATCATTAATGGTCAGAGCCTAGTTAGAAGAGCAGTATGGGTTCTCCATGTAGCTTTTCTTCAGAAAAGAAACTTATGTTTCCTCTCCTTAACACCCAGAGCTCAGGCTTCTGAGTGACTGTAAAAATGTTATTGTACTAGGGGTCAGAAGTCCCAGTTATTTCCATTCCGGAAGTCCTATAAGCATTCCACCATGGAGTACAAAAGGTACTCTATGAATGTTATGAACCCAACCAGATCCATCCATGCAGCTATGATCCCAGTATGAAGTCCTGCAGTGTTCTGCATGGCACAGGGTGTTAGCCCCAATATCTGAAGAACCAAAGTGCTCATGCTCTGGGACAGGAAATATCCCTTACACACATACATACATGTGCATGAACATATACACACTGTCTCTGACTGACTTTGGGACATGGTATTTCTGAGGATGGGGATGAGCTTGCCTTGCTTCACAAGTGTGTACAACTAGTAAGACTGGAGGTAAGACTTCTTTACTGCTTATTCCCACTGCCATTGCTTCCAACCTCAGCAGCATATACCACTGGGAGCTGGAAGATGTGCCTCTCACTGGTCTTCATTGACATCAGGCTAACCTCTACAGGGCCAGAGAATGAATTCAACATACTTCATAGCTGAAGCTTCACCCTACAACTAGCAGCAGCCCCAGCTATTAGTGGCACAAACCCCTGCATTTTCTAGAGCTATATCCCCAAAAACTATACCTTGGTACTTTTTTGCTCAGAGCCAGAGGTCTCTGTTGACAATGGAGATTGATCCAGTGGTACCAGAAATATCCATTATCTTTCATGTCCCTGGTGCCACCACTCCAATCACTGAACTGGCCATACGGAAGTTGTCTCAACCCTACTTTTTGTAGGGTTCTTTATGCACTTCACCCTCCTGGCCTGCTGAAGTGCCTAACACCTTTTCCTTCTGACCACATTGCTGCTTCTACCACACCCAAAGCCATTGGTTATAACTGAAGAACCTTTAGAGAGACTGTACTTCCATGTTAACCTGGAGCCAAAGTCAACAGAATCTACCAAAATGACACCCAAAGACACATCTTCAGGAGAAAGCCTATTACAATAGTCGCCTTATAAAATTGGTAGAAACAACTGACCCACCACATAGATCAATGTAGGGACACAGGACATTTGAAAAAGTAACATAAAATGATTATTTCAAAGGAACACACTCTAGCAATAGGGCCTAAGAAAGGTTATTGATGAAATGCCTGGGGAAATTAAACAAAATGTTTCTCAGGAAACTTAATGAGATGTAAGAGTATATAGAAGTACTTTAAAATTAAGTTAGGAAAATAAATTGTGATATGAGTGAGAAATTCATCAAATATGTAAAGATCACGAAAAAGAACCAAACAGAAACCTTAGAGCTGCAGAAGTCAACAAGTCAAAATATAGAGTCAATAACTTCAACAGCAACTTATATTAAGTTGAAGAAAGAATTTCTGAACTTGAAAGTATTTTGAAATATCACAGATAGTGGGTCCCCATAAAAAAGCAAAAGGTAAAGAAAAGAAACCAAAAAGAAAAAGGAAGAAAAAAAGGATTGAGTAAGCCTCTGAGACCTTAGGACATTATTAAATGAAAAATAAAAATCTAATTTTGTGAATCCAAAAGGCTGGAAGAAAAGTATTCTAAACATATTTATAAAATAACAGCCCAAAACTCACATGATCTTAGAAAAATATAGATGTCCAGGTATAAATGATTCAAAGGGCACAGAATAAATTTGATCAGAAAAATGCTAACTATAGCATATTATATCAAACCTGTTAAAAATACAAAAGATAAAGAGAGAATCTACAAACAGCAAGAGAAAAATCAATGCATATTACTTTTAAGGGAACACTCACTAGACTAACTGCTCATATCTCAACAATTTATAGGCCAGAAGGGAAGAGGAAGATATATTCTAAGACCTGAAAGAAAATAAAAACTGATAACCAAGAATACTATATCTACCAAAGTTAGCCTTTATATATAATAAATGTTATCAAGATTATAAAAACAGAGAATTCATCACAACCAGACTGGTCTTGCAAAAGATGCTTAAAGTGTAGCAAGAAATGAGGGTGCCACAGACCCAAGGGATAATTCCCAAAGTCTGAGCCCTGAGCACAGCATGGCTTTTACTTTTATACATAAATAAGTTTGGGGTACATCAAGGCAAGAGTGTTGGTGCAATTGTATGGGAGGGTGTATTCTATATTCCTTATATGGGTATAAGCTTGTTAACAATCTAGGTACTCTTAACAGCTTAGGAACTTTTATTGCACTGAGCCTAAAGTGGGTTTGTTCTGTCCCTACAACTTTGTCTTTTGCTTCTGCTACTATAGTTATGTTTTACAGATACCTGTTAACTGCTGCAGCCTCTATGGTTAAATGGCAGTAAACAGAGCTTCTATGTGTCAATGTGCAAAACCACTGCCTGTCAGCTCTTAAAATGCTAAAATTTCCCATCATATTCTACCACAAAAGGAATTATACATCTAGAATGAAAGAAGGACAACTATCATGAAAATTCATGAAAGTATAATGCCCACCAGAATAGCACAACCACAAAAGAGAAACAGAAAAGAATCAAACTTCATCAATACACAAAACCACCAAACTACCAAGATGACTAACATAAGAGAAAGAGAGGAACATAGGACATTCACAAAGTAGAAGAAAATTAACAAAATTATGAGAGTGAGTCTTTACATATTGCTAGTAATTTTGAATATAAACATAAATTCTCCAATTAAAAGATATAGTCTGAGTTG